CAGTTGAATGCATGTTGTGGTTTACCATTTTATTTTGTTCACTCATTGTTTGTCTCTTGTTATTGCACCCCCTTTCCCCATGATTGTAAGCCGCCCTGAGTCCCCTCAGGGAGAAGGGCGGCCTATACATCTTAATAAAATGAGTAAAAAAAAATGAGTAATAAAACTTGATTGAAAAAAATCAGATTCTTGATTTTTTTGCACCACAGAACAACATCATCTCCTACGTCTTTATCTTCAATCTTGTCATAAGTCAAAAGCATATATATTAAATTCATTGCCCTAAAGGCTTGCACAAAGAGATACCTTTGTAAGTTCAAGCTAGTTCATTGCTGTTTCCATACTTCCACAAAACTTTTAATCAGAAACATCGTCTCTAAATGAACTTTTCTATTACTGTGTTTGCATGCCAAGAAGATCTGCATTACCTATTTTCCCCCTAACATGTAGTTATTAAAGAATAAGGATCTTTCTTTTAAAAAGGTGGCAGCCTTAGCTTGCTAACCATACTATTACTGTATTAGATTCAATGAAGGGCTAAACTCCTTATAATTATTGTTTTCTTAGAAAAGGGGGGATTTTGGCAGAGCCTTCCATGTGACCCACTGGCTTCTATTCTAAATTCCTTCACTTCACTCACCACCTAAAGGCTCAAATTCCAGAAAAGTCAGCATGTTCTTCTTTTAAAGTATCATTGAACAATTACAAAAGAAAGAAAGAAAGAACCCAGTGGAATCTCACATAACCAAGGCATTGCAAACTTAAAACATTCTCCGTATAAATTGCTACCTCCTTGCCCCTTTCCATAGTTAAATAATCCCCCTTTCCCAGACAACACTCCATTCTATTTCAAGCCGTCAAATGAATCTTTGTACTTTTATCAGATTGCTCAGACTAGGCCAGATTATGTTTGGCTACTTTTGTTATGGGATCTATATAAAGATAAGCTCCAAAGAGTGCTTATCTGATCATAAGAAAAGGACAATTGTTAGCTACTACCCATCCCTTGTTTTGGTCCTTGGGGGTCAAGCCTCTGACTGTCTACTATTATTTCTGACTATAAGTGGCTGAAAACCTGGAAGCAGAGTTTTCTGCCAGTTTCGCTAGACAGTGAAAACTAGAGCGTATCATTGAAATTGGCAAAACGCCAGCACATATCTGAGCTATAAAAACCCACTCTCTAGAACGAAAGAAATGCAGAAGACTCCTTGAAGCCATGCAATGATTAACCTGATATTGCAGCTTATAAATAGCAGCTGTTCATCACAGATAAGGGGGGGGACCCAACCACGTTTGAGGGGTGCCCCCTGTACTGCCCTCTTCCCCCACAATTTTAAAGGAGATCCTTTGTCACTAATAGGCTGCCAATCCTTCAAGGATCCATGCATTAGTGCGTTGAAAGAAATGTCCTTCTGGGTTCAGCTCCAAGTGGGGNATGAATGAATGAATGAATGAATGAATGAATGAATGAATGAATGAATGAGTTTCTATCACTTTGATGAAGAGAGGAAAGCCTCTGTGGTACCGTTACTTTAAAACAGGTCAGGCAAGAAGCCTGAATGTTATGTGGTAAAGGTTCTATAATTGCCAGTTGACTATATAGAAACAGAAAAAGAAATGCAGAAAAGAGATCTTCTTCAATTCGCTAAAGTGTAAGTGTTTTCTTTTTTTTTTAGAGGTGATAGATATGTTCTCACTGTTATAAGACGTTGTTGAATTATTAGTAGTAGTAAGATGAAAGTAAATAGTACCTTTGGGTGGGAGAGAAATCAACTGAATGAAAACAATAACATAGAGACAGATAACGTTATCTTTGTCTATCAGAGATCTGAACTAGATTCCCCACCCAATCTGCCATTTACTTTCCCATTGATAGTAATTCCTATCGATGCCAAAGATCTGTTGCCTAACCATCATTTTGTTCATTCTTGGTTAATAAGACAAGAAACCTTAGGGAGTATGTAAAATGTCTAGCACTTAACACGTACTGTTTTTAGTAGGTAGACTAAAGTGGGATCCTTATGAATCGACAATGAAACATGATTTTGTCTTTAAAACTGCAACAGGCCCTGAAGCAGATTGGTAAGAATATACTAATTTAACTGATTTAAACTTTTTAATCATATTTGGTTTATTGACTTCTTTTGAAAACATTCTCATGTTCTTTTATTAATCTGTTTCTTAAAACTTTTGTGTTTTGTTTTTCTGGTGGCATATGGTGCATATATGGAAAAGGAGACTAGCTTTAAGCTTGGTTGTGTTTTATGTGCTGGAGACTATTTAGATTGAGAACAATTTTGCTTCTTTTTATTTCATCTATATTTTCCCACAAACTAGTGTGTCATTGCAATTTTCTCCCATCTTAAGCTTTTAAAGTAGGTTAAACTAATGTTTTCAGAATCCAACTGACACATTCCTCATGGTTTTTTTTTAAAGTGGGTTTAAGCCACATTTCTTCTGAAGAGAAATATGACACATAAATTCCTACTCTAACCGTTCTGAGCAGTATCAGATTGCCATGCTCATTTTTTTGCCAAAGATTACCATCTCACATCTGCTGTTTGTCATGACAAATAGAGTTAATTTCAACCAAAAGTCCACATAAAATGTAATCCCCCCCCCCGCATAAATTCAGGTTATTTTTCTGAAGCATATTTTCAATCAGAATTATTTTTCTGGAATAGAAGCAGCTAGTTTAAGTATGTAAATTACAGTGTGGGTAAAGATTCCCCTCGCACATATGTGCTAGTCATTCTCGACTCTAGGGGGCAGTGCTCATCTCTGTTTCAAAGCT